AAGCAAACATCACCCATGCCAACAATCTTGGACAAACTTTCATTACCCATTCGAACACAACCATAATCTCCTTTGGTGTAGGTAATGAAGAAATCAACTCGAGAAGTCACATGAAAAGAAGTACTAAAATCAATCACCTGATTGCTCTCTTGGCCCACAAAATTGACACAATCATCTTCACAAACAGCCATGAGATTGCCATTGGTAGTAATCGCCGTTGTGTTTTCTTACTTCTTATCCACACTTTTGTCTTTCATCTTCTCCTTGTTCTTGAGCTTTTGACATTCTCGCTTCATGTGCCCTTTCTCATAGCAATAATGACACTCAATGTCATTCTTTGAAAAAGAACCATCTTTTGATTTGTTACGGCTTCGATCACGACTATGAGGAGTCTTACTCATTCCCTTTGTTTTGTTTCAGCCTCTCATAACAAATGCCTCCGAATGAAAAAAACCCGCTGATTTTCTTCTAATTTCTTCATTCAACAAGTTACTAGTGATTTAGCTTATTATGACAACTCCATCGGGCGCCGAATTACTAACCGTTACAACCAAAGTCTCCCAACTTTCAAGCAACGAACTAAGTAGCATCAAAGCCTACAACATCAAAAACAAGTTTTTATAGAAGCAAGTTAGTTAGCAATACTCTTTATTTTATTCAAATGTTTCGGAATGGGACTACCATCTTTATGTTTTAAATTAACCAACTTTCAAATAAAAAAACTTTATTTGTGATTGATTTTCTATCATAAAGACCTTCTAATTTTTTTCGTAAATCATGGGCCGAAGTTTTAGTAGCAATATGATGAAACACATTGTCATCAATCCATTGACGGATGACACCAACAACTTTTCGATTAAGCCTCTTCCATTCATCATCTTTCATACTCTCAGGTTTTCCACTATCACCCTCAATGGATCCATACAAATCTTTACAAATAATAGGTCTTCCATTTTAGTTTTCCAAGTTACCCGATTGCTTCTATTAAAGCTAAATATACAACCCGCATTCCCCTCTATTGATTTACACAAATAAATAAATCCAAATAAACTGTAAGCTCTGCTATCAGTTGTTAGGGAAAATAAATGATTTCCTACAAATAAATCAATCGATGGAAATAAAAATAATGTGAAAAAATTAAATCAACAACGACACAAGAATTTTTACGTGATTCCCTCAATGTGAGGTACGTCCACGAGACTGAAATCTGATTCCATTATTAATCAAGAGTTTTCAAATGATTACAAATGAGACACGAATGGTATCACAAACCACCCTTAGGTGAAATGAGGAAAGACCTCACAAAATAGACGAATAAATTGTCTTCGAAATAGAGTGGAGAAAACCCAAAATAATAGACCCAAATCAGCCTTGAATAAGAGACATCTGCAGTAACAAACCAATCACACGTCTTGGACTTGGGATACACCCAACGCATACAGCCACACACATCTTCCAAGCAACAAAACAAAAGTGAAGTAAAGAAAAAATAGCCAAAATCCACCGATACGACTATTACACCAAAAACTATATTTGTTGCCCCACCCATTCGAAGATAAAACAATACAAAGAAAATATTGTTGATTCTTGGACTTGCCCTAACTGTTTCCCAATAGATTATTAAATAGCAATTGGGCCTCCAAAAGTCAGATATAATATATTATGTGGGTGTTGATTTCTAACCACACAACCAAACGAGGAACTCAGCTGGAGTGCACTGACAGAATAGATTAAGCCCGAACAACCTGTCACAGAGAGATAAGAATCTGGCAGTGGTTCGTCCACCCGGGGCACTCCGATACTCAAGTTAGTAATCAAATATTTCTCAAAGATAGCAAATTGTGTTTCACTTACAAGAAAACATTTACTGCTCACAGTATATCAACCATACCTCAAACCTACGGGGGTGTCCTGCTTTTAGAGCTAGCACTGACCTGATCCCTACAGACGTCTCACTTTAGTGGACTCAGGCTTAATGCTCATCCTGGATTCTCAGCTAGATAGGGATAAACTCCCTAAGAGTTTTATCTTTATCCAGACTGAGATCCTCTTCTATTCTAGGACTCTTGTCCCTTATCCGCTCATCTCTAATCTTGGCGCATGACCAGGCCACATGGCATCTCAGCTGATACTTCAACGTCACCTTGGCCACGTGTTGTCATTCATAAAGTATGTCCCCACAACTGCCTCCTAGGTTCTATTATCTCGGGAACCTGAGGTGATATATAGTATGTCGACTAAAATTATATTCCTTCTCCTCGATCGAGATCATAACTCGTCGGTTTCAAGTTCCCAAGACTCAACTGTCCATTTTACCAAGGATCAAGAACCAAGAATCTTGTTCTTTAAGCATCTCAGTCAGGATTGCTCCTGTAGCTGAGATCAAGAGTTCTAACTGTGCATGAGTTGTTACGCACAGTTTCTCTAATTGTTTCCCCCACGTGTCACGCCCCTACTGGCTCGTTCTGGTCACGCGTCATTAAGTCACGTCGATCTGTCTCACGTCGCTTGACAAGCATGTCGTCCAAGGCCTATTCATTTCATTTTGCCGCCTTTTTTGTTTTGACAAAACTCTTTCCTCTCTCTCTTCTTCTCTTCACTCTTGCAAAAATAATTTCCCTCGTTTTGCAGATTTTCTCTCTAAACTTTTATTTTCAAACCGCCATTCTCAAGATCTCAAGCTTTGCAACTATTTCGTCCATTATCGTCGGTGCTCGTTTCGTTACTTGATTTTGACCATCCAAGTACTCTGACTCCGACGCACTCGTTCTCGGCTCCATTTGGTAAGCCCCCAATATCACCCATTTTTATTCAATTTTCCACTGTATCTGTTGCTGTGAGTTTTGCCTCTGTATTTGTAACTGTAATCTATTATTCATTCACTCCTTGATTCTTGCCTTGATTGCCATACTTTGTTACTTGCACATCCTGTTCTTGAATCTGCCTCAATTCTTCGTCATAATGGTCTTACACTGTATCAATTTGTTTATTGCTCCTGATTATTGCACATTTGCACACACCCACTTAGTGTTTGTGATTTTCATGCTTTTGAATCATTTCTATTTTAGCACTGTGCCTGCCACATTGTTACTTTACTGATCATTTTCCCTTTCTGTTTTGTGTTTCGAATCACTGCACTTCATTGTATTGCTCGAATGTCTGGCACTATTCTTGCCATATCTGCGCTTCTCTCTATATTTTTGCTTCATTTTGATTCTTGAATTTTGCTTTCCTTTGATGCTTCTTGATTCTGAACCATATTTCTTTTCTGGTCTTCTTGCTTGGTTTTTAGATTCTTGCCCTTGACTCTTGTTTCTATAGATCTAGGTTTGGGATTTGCTCTAAAACTTATATTCTTAGGAAAATTGAAACAAATTCCCCTTAGATCTTCAAAACGCTTGCCCCAGAGCCTGTTTAGGGTTTAGTCGAGGTTCTCAAACCCTGCCAGTGTTTTTTCTCTAAAGTCTTTTGCAAAACCCCTTTAGCCGAGATCATGGGTATGTTTAGGTGGAGGGTAGACACCCCGACCAAACTAGAGTACTTCCGACAAGAGTTCTCTCTCCTAGCTGACGTTTAAATCAGGTTGGCTGGAAAGAAGGATTTTATCATGCCTGATGGAAACTCCATGCCCTTCCCTATAGTTGCGTTTACAGAGTGTGGACTTCGATTTCCTCTAGACATCCTGTTTAGAGAAGTTCTTGACTTCTACAAACTTAACCCTATGCAACTAGCCATCAATTCTTTTAGGATCATTAATGGCATCGTCGCGCTGACACGCCGACAAAATGCTAGAATTACCTTTTCTGATATCCAGTATTGCTATACTATGTGTAGCCTAAAAAAAAACAACGGCTACACATACTGCCTCAAGTCGAGATCTACACAATACAAGTTGATAGCCAATATCCCAGACTCAAATAACGGCGTGGGGGATGACTACCTGATTGTCTCAGACAATTGGGAGTTTATGCTACATGATGAGCTCCACTTTTTCCCTTTGCCCCGAGAAGTATTTAGGAATGATAAGGGTAAGGACTTAGTCCCCCCGAAGTCCCTTCTCTGAATTACTTTAGCATTCTTTCTGTTACTCTGTTATAATGTTCTCTTTTTATTTTTGCAGCCTTTCCTCAGCTCGAAAAGAACTTTCGCCAGTACTACGTGCCAAGCAAAGACTTGGTTCGCCTTCTCGGCTTATCAATCGAGGCACGCAAGACTCCTCTTCTTCTCAACTACAACCCTACTTACCGCAGTCTATTGCCTAACGTCCCCAAAAGAAGCCAAAGTCCACCTTCTGCCACAACTCCTCCACGTACTTCATCTCCAAGGACAGATCAGGCCTCAATTTCTGATCCAATAGAGCAGCCATCAACCTCTGTCCCCCAGTTAATTCCTCCAGCCCACCGCTAACGCTGACGTCGAGCTTCTCCAAATGCTCATGCTGGCAGAACTAGAAGTAAAAGACGCTGAGGTCTTGACTTATTGGAGATCGACATTTCCAGCCTTCCTATCGCCTTGCCAGCCATTCATTTTTGTCCCAGAGTTACCATTGCCGTTATTGCCGACGAAATGGGTCGCGCAAAAATTGTTTTCGACATCTTGCTAGTCGATATCCCTAGCGTGGTGTCGGTTCATTCTTTTTCTCCATCCCAATCCCAACAAAAGCCCAAGGCAAAGAGGGTAAAAAGGACTAAGGCCAAAGTCGTAGCCACAGAAGTTAAGTCAGAAGATATAGTGCTAATTTCTAAATTGGCTGAAAAAGAGAAGAGCTTTGCTGCCGTTGAGAAGATGCCTGTCAAGGCTGAAACGTCTGATCAGTCGCGATCCAAGAAGTCGAGGTCCGGAGAGGCTTCTGAGCCCTCTATTTTCGTGTCGATGAGCCCTGGACCCCATCTGTCAAGGTCGGAGACCGACCTCTTCTAGCCGGGGACAGTGCGCTTGATAGTCTGGAAGTTGGTGCCGCCCTTTCCACCGTCGTTCTCCTTCCGGCTGACATCAATCGGATGGCTGAGCTCTCTCAGTACGAAAACTATGCAATGATGATACAGCACTGCATTTTGGTAAGTTTTAGCACTTGTAACCTTTGGTCCAATTTCAACTTTGGTTCCCATACTTAACGAGTTGTCTTTCCATTCTTACAGGCTATCCAACAGCGTCACTCCCTCGCAGTCAAAATCGAGGAGTTGAAGAAGAAACTGAGCAACAAGACAAAACAGGTAGCCAAGCTCCTGTCTTCACTAAACAAGGCTGAGGCTCGCATCCGAAGCTTGCAGGACAAGGCAAAAGCTGCCCAACTGGCCCAAAGCAAAGCTGAGGATAGCACCGAAGCCGCTGAAAATGTTGTCGTGGTCGCCAAAGACGAGGCACAAGAAGCTAAAGAGAAGGAGTCTCAAGCCCAGATTGAGCTTCAAATGGAACTTGCAACCAAAGCGGCCGAAATAAAGGCGGCCGACGAGAAGGCGTACGCCGAAGAGGCGGCTAACGTTCGCGACGCATATAAGAAGCAAGTCAACGAGGCATGCAACAAGGGTTACACCCTTGGATGGATGTCTGCGTTGAAGGAATTAGTTGTCCCCAACGACTCGCCTCTTTGTGATGCCAGCCAACTTACTCTTCCATTCTCACCCACTCTAAGCCAATCCGAGGATGAGGCCGAGGAGGAAAAAGAAATTGAGGCTGACAAGGACACAGTCGCTGATGTTGCTCAAAAGATTGAAGCTGCTGGGGCCAAGTCCCTAACTCTGGATAAGCAAGTCCTGGACTTAACTTAGGATGACGAGGACGAGGTTCCCAAGACCACTTTTGACGCCGAGGTTGAGACCGCCGAGAAGAGCCTTGATGAGACTCTTCTTGAGATTGACGCTGAGATCCAGGCTGAGAAGGCAGCCAAGAAGAGTACTCAGCTGTTTGTCGAGGCTAAGACACCATCAATCGTCAAGGCAGGGCAGTCTGCAGAGAATCCCCAATGATCCTAGCATTCATAATTTTTTCCTTTACTTGTTATTTTGAACTGTCACGAACAATGTAATCTTTTGTTTTGTTTTAACTAATGTTGGTTTTCTTTTGGCCGACGTGCCTTCTTTTGTCTTTACAAACAAACAAGTTCTTTTTGAATGCATGCCTTCTTTTCTTTCGAATGTTCTCTTCATATATGTTTACCGCTTGCTTTCTATGCTTTGCACGTTTCCATACTTAGAATATTTTTGCATTTTTTCAAATTACACTTTAACTATGTAATCACTTCGGGTTAGAGTGCCTCGGATATAAACCTTGACTGTTTGTCTCCGCCAACAATTGGAATACCTCGTCTAACACTTAAAAGTATTTCGAAATATTTTTACAAGTGTTGTTTCTTAAACTTATTCAGTCAAGTATTGCTTTTTTACTTCCACTTGCTGTCTTCTATCAAGACTTCACCCTTCCAACCTTTCCAAGCTTGTCAACTTGGTTGGTCATCTCGGGTAATATGTACCTCGATACATCTTTCATTATTACCTCGGCTGATTTCAACTTGTAAATTGTTCTGAAATTTCAACAAGTGTCAAGCCCATTCTAACTTGTAAATTTTCTAAAATTTTCAACAAGTCCCAAGCTCTCAAGTTTATTTATCATTCCTGTTTTGCTCTTTGCCCCCTAATATGAACCTAAGTTCCACTTAAGTTCACATTATGTGTTTATGGTCTTTCGTCGAAGTCAGATTCAAACAAAGACTAGCCGAGGTGTTCAACCTTGGTTTTTTTGTTAATCTAACTGAAGTGAACTTAGTTCCATTCTGAGTTTAACTCTGCTAACATGGAAAATCTAGGTTAATTCAACTTAGTTTAACTCTATTATATGCAAATATAATTCAACTCTACCATATAATAAGCCTAAGTTATTCGTCATGTTTCATTCAGAAATATCGCCAACTTAGTTCAACTCTATTATATGTAAGTATAATTCAACTCTGCCATATAATAAGTCTAAGTTATTCATCATGTTTTATTCGGAAATATCGCCAACTTAGTTCAACTATATTATATGCAAGTATAATTCAACTTTTCCATATAATAAGTCAAATTTATTTGTCATGTTTCATTCGAAAACATAGCCAACTTAGTTCAACTCTATTATATGCAAGTATAATTCAACTCTACCATATAATAAGTCTAAGTTATTCGTCATGTTTCATTCGGAAACATCGCCAACTTAGTTCAACTCTATTATATGCAAGTATAATTTAACTCTGCCATATAATAAGTCTAAGTTATTCGCCATGTTTCATTTGGAAACATCACCAACTTAGTTCAACTCTATTATATGCAAGTAGAATTCAACTCTGCCATATAATAAGTCAAAGTTATTCGTCATGTTTCATTCAGAAATATCGTTAACTTAGTTCAACTCTATTATATGCAAGTATAATTCAACTCTGCCATATAATAAGTCCAAGTTATTCGTCATGTTTCATTCGAAAACATCGTCATAGGACTAGTCAGTCCTATTGCAAAAATTTCAAATTCATAAAAATCAAAAACAGCATTTTATTATTACTTCGGCTAATAAAATTATGACATAAACTTCGAAAAAAAAAACTAAAGATAAAAATATTTCAGATTGCAAGTGTTTTAGGGTCTCGACAACTTTCTGCCATCAGTGTTTTCAAGCCAATATGCCCCACTACCGGCAACCGAGATGATTCTATAAGGCCCCTCCCAGTTTGGGCCAAGCTTGCCCTCCCTTGGATCCTTCTTGTTGTTGAAAAATTTCTTCAGGACGAGGTCCCTAACTTTGAATTCTCTTGGGTTGACCTTCTTGTTGTAAGCCCTAGCAAGCTGCTGCTTGTATGCCCCCAGCCAAATTGCTGCTCTCTCCCTTCTTTTTTTTAATAGATCTAGATCTTGGGCTAAGAATGCCTCATTAGTCCCATCTTCCACTCCCTGGATTCTGATTCTAGGGATGCCGACTTCCAGTGGGATAACTACTTCAGTGCCATAAGCCATGGCAAAAGGAGACTCCCTAGTTGATCTTCTCGGCATAGTTCGATATGCTCAGAGCACATTGGACAATTCTTCCACCCACTTCCCTTTTGCTGTTTCTAGCCTCTTCTTGATCCTGTCCAAGATACTCATATTGGATGCTTCTACCTTGCTCTGAGGAAAACTTGGAGTGGAGTAGTAATTCTTGATTTTGTATTTTGTACAGAAGTTTTAAATTAGCTTACTGTCAAACTGTGTATCATTGTCTGCTATTGTTTCCATTGGGATCCCAAACCTGGTGATGGTGTTTTTCCATATGAAGTTCTTCACATTAATATCTCAAATCTTTGCAAGGGTTTCAGCTTCTACGCACTTCGTAAAGTAGTCAGTTGCTATCAGCAGAAACTTCATTTGCCTAGTTGCTTGGGGCAGTTGCCCAACAAGATCCATGCCCCACTGGGCAAACAGCCAAGAGCTGAACACTAGGTTCAAATTTGCTGCTAGTTGATGTATCAAAGATACAAACCTTTAACAATTCTCGCACCTCCTAATGTAGGCTTTAGCATCCTTCTACATGTAGGACCACCGATATCCCTGAGTGATGGCCCTATGAGTGAGTGATCTACCCCTAGTATGGCTTCCACAGACTCCTTCATGAATCTCATACAGAAAGTCTTTAACCTGAGAGGGATGTACACATCTCGAAAGGGGTCCAGTGAAGGATCTCTTGTAGAGATGGCCATCTGCTGTTAGGCTGAACCTGGCCGACTTTGATTTGGTCTTGTGTGCCTCTTTTCGGTCGTTTGGCAGCTTGCCATCCCTGAGGAACATCATTATTGCATCCATCCAACTTGGACTCATCTCCACACACATTGCCTTATATTATGTTATTAGAGGTTCCACACTTGGTCCCGTCAAGTAATCAATCATGATTGTCCCCAGCTCTCCCGACTTTATTGCACTAGCCAGGTTGGCTAAGGCATCGGCGTGACTGTTATCATTTTGGCTAACTTGCTGTAGTCGAAATTCTTGAAACAAGGAAAGCAATTTGATAACCTCTTTAACATAAGCTATCATTCATTCATCTCGGGCTACATACTCGCTTGTTGCCTGATTCACAATGAGTTGAGAGTCACAGAAGACTACCACCTTATCGACCTTTATTGCTGCTGCCAACTTCAACCCTGCAATCAGTGCCTCATACTCTGCTTCATTGTTTGAGGCCTTAAATCCTAAACGAATAGAATGCTCTATCATTCACCCATCTGGCTATACCAACACTACTCCTACACCCGTTCCTTGATGGTTTGAGCTTCTATCAACAAACAAGCAGAAGGAATCGTCGATGTAAATATCGTAAAGCCTTGGTTTCTTTTTTTTCTTCTATTTTGCTAGAGTGGGGTTTTTGGGCCCCAGTTGGGTTTTTCCTGCTCCCCTGGGCATCCCAAACCGCGGCTCACCGAAGTCCGACACGGGATGGCACCAGGGGTAAACTTGTCCACAAATTGGTTAGAACCTGGCCCTCAATTGCTGTTCTGCGCCTAAACTCCAAGTCATATTGGACTAACACTACTGCCCATCTAGCTACCCTGTATGTCAGATCTCCTTGCTGCAATAGGGACTTCAAAGAATGCTCAGTTAGTACCACAATCTTGTGGGCTTAGAAGTAGTGATTCAGTTTTTTCGAAGCCATCACCAGGGCTAGTGTCAATTTTTCTAAGGGTAAGTACCTGGTCTCTGCACTTGCTAGGGTTTTACTCACATAGTATACTGCGAATTGTTCTCCCTTTTATTTTCTGATTGCCACTGCACTCAATGTGTGCTCTGAAATAGCCAAGTATAAGAACAACTTTTCTCTAGGTATTGGGTTTGACAGAACTGGAGCAGTTGTCAGGTATTTTTTCAAGTTGACCAAGGCGACTTTGCACTCCTCTGTCCACAAAAAATTTGTGGCCTTCTTTAACAATCTAAAATGGTTTACACTTATCTAAACTTCTACTAATAAACCTGTTTAGGGCTGCCGCCTTGCCGGTCAAAATTTGGACCTGCTTGGCTGACGTCAGGCTCTTTAAGCCAAGAATGGCCTTGATTTCTTGGTTTGCCTCAATGCCCCTTCTGGTGACTAAGTACCCTAGGAACTTACTAGATCCGACTCTAAATGCACATTTCGAAGCATTTAGTCAGAGCCGATATGTTCTTAGGATATCAAAAATTACTTTCAAGTTGGCCAGATGATTCTCAAGTTCTTTGGTCTTCACGACCATGTCATCAATGTATACTTCTACTATCTTGCCAGTCAGATGTCTGAACATCTTGGTCACCAATCTCTGGTAGGTTGCTCCTACATTTTTTAACCCAAAAGGCATCACTCTATAGCAGTACAACCCTTTTTGGGGTGATAAATGCAGCATTCTCCTTGTCAGGTAGGGGTGAGCAGCGGATATACCGATCCGTCAAAACCAATCGAACCGAGCCGAACCGATCCGCCGCATTTTGGACGGATGCGTGATGACGAGCAGACGGTTGCAGATTAATTTTCTCCAATCCGTCAATCTAGAGGATGGCGAATTTGAGATTCCTTTGGCTGTAACCGAACCACCAAACCGCGAGCACCCCTAGTAATTTATAAGACTTTGTGTTTTCAGTTTGCTTAAATATTCTGTTTGTGTTTTCAATTAAAAAAGAGTTTAAATATTCTGTTGAAATTTTTTTTTCAACTTGAATATCTTTTTTGAATTGAAAAAAATAAACGTATTATTTATTTATATTTTTTGGTTTTTAAATCTGTCTCTAAAAATAATAAATAGAAAATATGATATATGCTGGTTGGTTTTTGTTTTCAAAAACAGATATAGATGTAACAATACAGAAATATACAATCTCTACTACTGTTCTGTTCATGGTTTTAGTGGTTTGAATTGTTTTTATATTTTAAGAACCACAGATTGTAATACTTTATGTAGATGAGGCATGCAATGATTGTAATATTCTAAAGTTTCAAACTTCCTTGG